AAGACTCCTGGTGAAACAGAAAATCCCTCACCACACTTATTCGCTCTCTGAAGAACGGCAAATTCGTGCCGTATTCAGGGGAGTGCCAGAGCACTTGGCAGTCGACGATATTCGTGAGGAGCTCGAAGTCAAGGGCTTTGACCTCACCAACGTCACGTTTTGGTAAACAAGGACCAGAGCATATATTCGAGATCAAAGCCTCTTGAGTGTAAAGGTTCAGGTCGAACCCCAACACCCAAAAACTTGGTGGGTCAGTGCTACCGTTGTCAACGTTTCGGCCACTGCCAGCGCAACTGCCTGGCAGTACCCATTTGGGTTAAATGCGCTGGCAGGCACCTGTGCTGCCTAAGACCAGATGAAAAAGCTGTTCGTCAAATTCCCCGTGCTACAGAAAATGTTTACGGTGAATACAGACGGGATAACCGGAACTGCCAATGACTAGACAACAAACATTGCCTAGATCTCTGAAGATAGTTTTTTGGAATGCTAATGGCATTCTTCACAAAAAACTGGACTTTGAAAATTTCAGTATTGAAAATAACATCGATGTGGCTATTGTCCAAAAGACACATTTCAGGAACGAATCCATTGTCATTCCAAACTACAGATTCTATCACAGAGAACGTGGTGGGCGTGATGCAGGAGGAGTTGGCATTTTTGTCAAACGATCCCTTCAGTGCGTTCAGTACGGCATTGACAGTCCCTGATTACACGTAACTGAGGCCGTGGGGGTCGAAATTCAACTGAGCAGGAGTTGTCACAGAATAATCTCGGTTTACAACCCTCGGAACAATCATTTACTCCCAGAATCTCTGGATGAACTGCTGATGGGAAGCAACATTCCGACAATTGCTGCTGGCAACTTCAATGCCAAGCACAGACCATGGAGCAGAGCCACAAATCGAAACGGCCAAGCACTCCATGCGCATGTTGACAGGCATGAATATCTTGTGCTAGGACCAGATGAGCCTACGTACTATCGCGGGTAGACTAGACCTGATGTACTAGACATCGCGCTTCTCAGAAACATCTCTCTGACTAGCGAAATTTACGTACTGTTGGAATTGGATTCCGATCATAATCCAGTAATCCTGGTATTGGGCGATGATCTTCCTTTTCCTGGTTATCGCATGAGATCTAAGACAGACTGGGATGACTTCACAGCCCAGCTCGGAGAGATGCGTGCCTCTCCTGAGGTACTCGACTCTCCCGACGAACTCGACGCGGCAGTTGAGCGTTTCGAGTTTTCTGTGAATGATGCATTTCGAGCGGCCACCTCCAGGGAGGAGTGTCCGCTAAAGAGCTATAATGAGTTTTCCCCTCGTATCAAAGCCCTGATACGAGAAAGAAATCTCTTGAGAAGGATCTATAAACGAACCCTTTTCCCAGGAGACAAAATTGCAGCAAATAGGATGGCCAACCAAGTTAATCAGACCATCATTGAACATCGAAACGAAAGGTGAGAAGAGATTTTGGAATCCTTCGAGCCCGGGAGTGGCGAGCTTTGACGAGTCACCCGCAGGCTTAAGGGGAAGAAGACTTCTCTCTCACCCATTCACGGAGAGCGCGGAGTGTGCTACTCCCCCGCCGACACAGCGTTAGCCTTTGCTGACACGATGGAACGTCAGTTTCAGCTTAACGTTGACGACAACGATGACATCGACCGCGATATGCTGTTGGAAGACCGGGTTCACCGAATCCTCAGGGAGGATGACATCCGTCCAGCTTCTGTGGAAGAGCTGAAGGGATACATCAGGGCCGCAAAGGCCAAGAAAGCACCAGGTGTCGAACTCAATAACTGACAAGTTATTGAAGAGGCTCTCAGAAAACTGCGTCGAATGCCTACTGAATATTATAAACAGTTCGTTGGCCCTCAGACACTTCCCCAGAAGGTGGAAACATGCGATAGTCGTCGTGATCCCAAAACAGGGTCAGGTTCCCACAGAACTATCGCCTGATCAGTGTACTCTCGTCGGCGGCGAAGCTGGCAGAAAGTTATACTCCAAAGGCTCAACGAAGAAGTTGAGGACCGAAATGTTCTGCCTGATGAACAATTTGGCTTCAGGAGTGAACACTCCACTGAGTTACAGGCTCTAAGGCTGGTCGAAAACACCATCCAAGAGCTTAATACCAATAAAAAAGTGCATATTGTATTACTAGACATCTCGAAGGCCTTCGACCGTGTTTGGCACGAAGGCCTTCTGCACAAATTGAACGCGTTCGACCGGACTCGGGGCCTGATCCGGTGGATTAGGTCTTTCCTGAAAGACAGAACTTTTCAGGTTAGAGTAGAGGGCTCTCTGTCTGATAACCCGTCAGGTTGAAACACGAAGGAAAGCGGATAGGCCTCCTGCTATAACTATCCGCGCCTAAGAGAAATGGAAAATATTTACCGCCGCTGCGCATAACATCACCATTTCGCGTGCGGTATATATGACAGACGGCATTAAAATCCACCTGCAAAATTCAAACAATTACAGGAAAATCACACGGATCCTTGATCACGAAAAGATTCCTTACCACACCTACACAGTGCAAGGTGGAAAACCACTCAGGGTAATTTCCCGTGCAGTCCATAGAATGCGAAGATATTAAGACCGAACTCCAAGGCAAAGAATTTGAGATCCTATATATTGCTCACATGAGAAAAGCAAACAAACACCGATCCCGTTTGTGCTGATTTTGGTACCGAGGAGCCAGAACATATACAAAGTTACCGAAATCCTAAATGTGCAAAGCAGGTGCCGGGCGGCACCTAACAAAAGAATGCAAAAGACCGAAAAATTCGCCCGTGCGATGTTTCAGTTGCAATAGAGAACATCCAGCGAGTTTTCACGGGTGACCTGAACGCCCCGAAAACAAAAAAGGGCCTCAGATAGGCCCCTGAAAACCGACAGCCCCTGAATCCAAGGCCTGTCGGAAAAATACAGTCAGAAGCGAGAGCCGTTTCAACATCAGAGAACGCCTGCAACTTTTCCGAGGGTCTCCCAATGGCGAATGGTAACACCGTCTATACTGACTTGCGGGGATTTCCTATATTTTATTTTGTGCTTGGATTGTTTATGACTTATAATCAGCGAGAATGATTTCTATTACATATTTATTAAGTTCAATATTGTTTATTAAGCCCTTTTAAGGAAGTATGTGATGCTTTGACAATTCAAAGAAAGTTTCATTCGTGGATCTTGAGTTGTTCAGTTCACACTGATTCGTTACTTTGATTTTTTTGCAGATGAGTACGTGTGGTGGTTATGAAATTATTGGATAATTTAGTGAAAATTTTAATTTTTCGCTACGTGTATCTACATTCAACTGTGTGAGTATTAAATATTTTATTTATGTAATTGAATGTTGGCAAGTCTGATATGTTGCTCAAGCTTTAAGTTTTACACTCGCATACGTTCCGAACAAACATTTGAGCAATTTAAAAAAAAAGTGTACCCTCAGTTATGATGTTACTTAACTAATTATAACACTTACGAAGATATTAAAATATTGAAAACCATCGAATTTACCTGTCTCCTTCCCAACTAGGGTCAGAAAAACAATGATTTCCAAAAAACTGTATAGGGAGTGATTTATAAATACAATTAAATTCGTTAAAGTCGAGTTTACCAGCTAAAAGCATTGTCAAATAACGAGTGTGAAGGCAGCCACGGATTTCTAGCCATGGATTTGTAGCGAGAGCCAAAGGCACCCGGTGGTCAGCGGCAACTAAAATTTGTGGCAAATTGAAGGACAGTTGCGACTGTATTTGATAATTAATTGAAATTTACGGCAGAATCTTCTTAGAGAAATTAATATTGATTTATTATATCGATGAGAGAATCTGACCTATATCTCATACTATTTTACAAGACAGAAAACCTACCCACATATCCTTTTATGTTTTCAAAATTAAATTCAATCCATCAAAATATTCGTAAATGAGGATTTTTTTGCATGATTACATCTATGAAATATGCTGAATGAGACCTATATCTCAAAATATTTTTCCGGGCAGAAAAACGACCCCCACACACCCTTATATGCTTTTAAAATAAAATTCAATCACTTATCAAAATATCAGTGGATGGGGATTTTTTTTTGCATGATTACATACTATGAGAGGTGCTGAATGAGACCTATATCTCAAAATATTTTGTCGGGCAGAAAAACGACCCCCACACACCCTTATATGCTTTTAAAATAAAATTCAATCACTATATCCAAATATTACTGTGGATGAGGATTGTTTTGCATAATTACATACTATAAGAGGTGCTGAATGAGACCTGTATCTCAAAATATTTTGCCGGGCACACACCCTTTTATGTTTTCAAAATCAATTTCAATAACTTTATCACAATATCAGTGGATGGGTATTTTTTGCATGATTATATAGAGTAGATTTCCTAAATATGGACTAGTCAGGTAATATGGACTACGATGTTCTAAATATGGACTAGTGGTCCATATTATGGTCAAGTAGTCCATATTGTAAATTTATTGTTTTTGTTTTAGGATATGGCGTCAAAACCAAAAAGGCAGCAATGGGACAAAGATTCCATGGCACAGGCTATATTAGCTATTCAGGAGAAAAAAAATGGAATCCCGAAAAGCATCGAAAACCTTTGGAGTGCCGAAAACTACACTTATACGGTTATCACAAAAGAGTAACATGCCTTTAAAAGAAGTTATAAATATAAAACTCGGAAGAAAAGCGACACTTCCTCCTGAACTAGAGACTGACTTGGCTGATTATGTGCTTCACATGGAAGAATCAGGATTTGGACTAACTCGACGTGATATTAAGTTGTTAGCTTATCAATTAGTGGAAAAAATAACTTGACCCATAAGTTTTTCAAAAAAAACCAGTTAGCTGGCAAAACATGGCTATGATTATTTTTAAAACGCCACCCTGAACTTTCGTTTCGTCGTCCCACGGATACTTCTATTAAAAGACTGAAAGGCTTCAATAAAGAAAATGTTGACGAATTTTCAAATTACTAGAAGAAGCAATGGAAAAGCACAACTATTTGGCAAATAATATCTACAATGTAGATGAAACCGGAATTAAAGTCGTTCCGTCAAAGATGCCGGAAATATTGGCCAAAAAGGGAAAACTACAAATAGTTGCGACAACTTCAGCTGAGAGAGGATCAACAGTCACTTGTGTGATGTGTATGAATACCAGTGGCACATTTGTTCCGCCGATGATGATCTTCCCTCGCAAACGTGACCATCCTCTTTTAATGAAAGGGGCTCGACCTGGTGCAATTCACGCCTGCCATCCATCAGAGACGTCAATAAAGACAAAAAGTGAAGCAGAATCAAAGAAAAAAAGAAACGTTACGAAGAAACTAGAGGAGCTAAATGAAAAGAAGGCAGAAGGAAGAGAAAAGAAGGGGAGTGTTGTAGGTCAGAAGCAGAAGAAGTTTGCACCAAAGAAAAGGTCAAAAAGCAACAGAAAGCAATTAAAAAAGACTAAACAAATAAAAATACCAAACAAGGTTAATAGAGCATCATCTATGTCCGATCGAAGTCAACAACATAATGCAAAATGTTTATATTGTGACAGTCTCTTCTCCGATGATACTCAAGGAGAACAGTGGGTACAATATTCTTCTTGTGAGCAATGGGCACATGAAGAATGTGCTGGTGTCGATAGTGTCCACTTCTTATGTGAATTTGGCGGTGATTAGCTTTGTTATAATTTTTATTTACCGTAACTTTATAATTTTATTTAAGTACCATAATATTAGTATGGATATTTTGCTATTTGAGTCTAATAATATAATGTTGTTTAGTATGTAAGTACTATTCTATTTTTCGTTGATCGAGACTGATTTACGACGGTAATCTATTCCTATAAAAGAATGATAATAATAATATAAAATATCATTAACTGTGATTATTTACTGCTCAAGTCCATATGCACCCATGGTTCATATTAAAAACCTAGTCGTCCGTATTAAACTACCTTTTTAAGAAGTTTATTTTTTATAATTTTCTGTAATTAAGGTAAATTTGCCAGAATTTATGTTCTTTTCATGACAATTGAAGTCTATTGTGATACTAGATTAGATTCTTGTGTGATTAAAATGAAAGAGAGAAGTATATCTACCATTTCTTGATGTTCTTTTCATGACAATTGAAGTCTATTGTGATACAAGATTAGATTCTTGTGTGATTAAAATGAAAGAGAGAAGTATATCTACCATTTCTTGAGTTTCATTTGATGAAATCCTTATGGTAGTCCATATTTAAATAACTTACTATAAGAGGTGCTAAATGAGACCTGTATCTCAAAATGTTTTGCTGGGCAGAAAAACTACCCCCACACACCCTTTTATTTTTTCAAAATTAATTTCAATAACTTTATCGAAATATCAGTGGATGAGGATTTTTTTTGCATGATCACATACCATAAGAGGTGCTGAATGAGACCTGTATCTCAAAATATTTTGAAGGGCAGAAAAATTACCCCCACACACCCTTATATGTTTTTAAAATTAATAATAACTCAAAGTCGTCTCCACAATTTAATATCACCATCAGATGGTAGAACGGTAAAACCATCAATCAGTACATGTTTCCAACCTATAAAGGTTCATCATCAGCTAATTATTTAAAATTCTATAATGAAAGAAGAACAACATAACAATAGTTAATACAATGAAGTATGAAATACTTACATGGAGAAGAAAATATTTTATACTCACTCATTGATATAAAAATAATCAAACGACTTAAAAATAAAATATCCGAAAGGAATCAACTGTCAGAAATATATAAAGAGATATGACATGGAACAATGACTAGAGATCAGCAAACACAGAGCACAAAGTCCTGTAAACGCCTGATTTATGGTAGATTGGTACTTTATCTTCAGTACTGACTAATAATTTGGAAATAGGAGTCATAGTATAAAATGAAAAAAATAATATCATCACAGTAACGTTTAAGAATATTTGAAATATCATGTGGAACTTTACCTAAATAGAGACTAGAACAATATTTATTAGAATTGTTAGAGGTTGAACTGCGATTAAGAAATTTAGTTGTAATAGATTTCATTGATTAGATAGGTAGGGAAACCATTATTATGTTCACACACAATTATCGTGTTCACAACCAAATTGTTCTGCTCAGTATTTCGAACAAAGTTCTGGAACATGTTATGATATTGATTATGATTAAGATATTTTACATGTTTACCAAAAAGGTACTTCACTTAATTTACTTCAAATTTTTTAAATCAACTCTGCTACTAATAACCCCAATGTCATATTTCTCATTGAACAAGTACAGTTCGATTGCCAAAAGTTTTTTAATTCTCTTAATTTCAACTAAAATTCTCCTTTCTTAATTTTCTACAAATCCTTATCTTTGTTACAAGATGGCAAGTATGAATTGTATGAGATCTGTTTGCTCAGAACAAGAGTCGATATGTATGCGGGTTTCTTTCTCCAGTTGCGTTCTGTGTTTGCTGATCTCTAGTCATTGTTCCATGTCATCTCACCTTCTATCAATTTATATATTGTTGACAGTTTTTTCTCATTCATTCCTTTCGGATATTTTCTTCATAAGTCGTTTTCATGTACCGTTTGATGATTTTTATATTAATAAGTGGGTAAGTATGAATTCTAAATTTCCAGGTTAAAATGGAATATCTGATCTAAAAACAGAAATTCCAAGTATGAAGGGAAAATGAACAAATTGGTTACGAAATATATTTGGGTTACACAAGCAAAATTACGTAACCTAAAGGTTTCTGTTCTACCTTCCATCATTATTCAGATTGAGTAATTGAGCTTTGAATGAGTTAGAAGTGAAAACAAAATTATGAGTATGAATTCTAAATTTCCAGGTTAAAATGGAATATCTGATCTAAAAACAGAAATTCCAAGTATGAAGGGAAAATGAACAAATTGGTTACGAAATTCGTATCTGAAAGTTGAAATTTCAAATTCAAATACCAAACTTTGAGAATGAAGTTGGAATTGTTAATTCAAAATTGTAAGTCAAAGTGAGTTTGAGTCGAAATTGATAAAATATCTTCACTATGTACACAGTCTCGTTTTAGGCATTTTATACCAGCTTTTTTAGTTAGAGAATATACATTAAGAACAAATACCTGTGTTCTTGGTGGTTGCAACTATAGATTTTTCATATTTTTTCATGTTTTGGTGTACCGTCAGCACACTATAAATCATCAAACAGAAGGTGCTCAACAATGAAGACAGAAAATGAATGATATTTTCAGTGAAACCTATTGAATTTCTGTCGCAGAAAATATAACATTGTTAATGAAGATAATAATAGGAGGGTTACCACTAATATTTAAGATATTGAACATGATATTTGTAAAAAAGAAGATTAAAACAACCTTAATGACAAAGAATACCTCCACAATGTTATCATACAGAACAGATCAAAAGAACTTCTCGAAGTTCAAACAGAGGAAACAAGTGAAAAGCATGGTTGAATGGGATACCTTAGGCAAAATTTAATCTGAATCATTAGTATGAATTCACCATTAGCAATCCTGGTAGAATGGACTACAATTTGTTTGATTATTGGGGCAATAGCCTCTGTTACACCAATGTCAGTTTCAATACTACAAATGAAGTGAGTTGGAAGAACCAACAAAAATAAAAGGATTCAAAATAATAAGTCATTATAATCAATCAATAATCAAATTTAGCAAAGAAAAAAACAAGAAATTGAAGTCCAATATCATAAACGAGGTTATACTCATTCAATAAAGAGCTAGTAAAGTATTTCTCTTTCTCCTCTATTTTTCGACACTAAAGTTTTATGCCTTTTTCATTACTCCTTCAGTTGTATTCATGACATGATACATTTTACATAAACATTTCATAAATCTTTTTCTATGTTTAAATGATCTCATTGATTTTCAGGACAAGGACCTCAGTTTAAATGTGGAGGAACTATAATAAATGAAAGATACATACTCACAGCTGCGCATTGCATCAGTAAATTGAATGACCCATTGTAAGTATTTACAGTTACAAAAATCAAAATAAAAAAATTCTTCATTGCCAATTTCTCTATAGTAAATCTAAGGTCCAATGTACAGAGTATATATACAATAATTACATCTCTCCCACAAACGGGGGTGGGTGGGGGCAGGAAAAGGTTTGGTGAAGGAACGGGGAAGATCATCGAGCCCCAGGACGTGCACAGGGTGAATCGCCACCTCATAAACCCACGACAGGCCAATGGGAGGCGCCCCCGCTAGTGTTAACGGGTGGCTTTCTGCCCAACAGAGTCTCATTTCAGCATTCAGTCTAAGACTTCCCGCTTCCTGCCGAGGCTTACGCGAGATGTATCGGGATGTTGCGATTTCGATACCTCATAACTGAGTGTACTAAGTGGGTGTTACGGGATTATTACTAGCCCCTTGGAAAAAGTTCAGTTACAGGTTTAGTACAAAATAACATGTTAACTGAACAAGTGGTTTGGTAATGACGATAATTTGGTTAATAAAATGCGGGAAAGTGTCTACATGACAGAATGGTACTGGACGACACAGAACGAGGTGATCACAACTCTGTCACTGACTTGGAATATGTTAAGCAAAAGGCTCATATGAAAGCGACAGAGATCACTTCACTTCTACGGCAACACAAGGATAAGCCAATGTATAGGGTCTTCTTCAACGAAATTGAAGACGTTGGCTTATCAAAGCGTCTGACTTTCGCTTTCCTCAGGTCGAGTGAGATGAAGTCGAATACTTAAGGGTTCATCATGGCTTGCGAGGATAGTTTTTTCAACACCACAGTCTACCGCAGTCGCGTGATAAGTATAGAGGTACGACACAAAGTGCAGAGGCGTCTGAGGCCCTAATGCACTTGATGTCAGCATGTTCAGCATATGCGGTATCGGCTTATTTCCATCGACATTACGCGACCCTAAAAGTGATTCATTACCACCTACGGCACTTTTACGGTATTGATGAGACACCGGTCTTGCACTACGCTCCGGAGGGTATTGAATCCGTTCTGAGAAATGAGAAGGTCCGAGTTTATTGGAACAAATCGTTCTTCATCCGCAGGATCATACGAGCTAATGGGACTGATGTAGTCCTTCTTGACCAACAGAGCAAGACGATATTTGTCGTGGAGATTTCAGCTCTCGGCGAAACGAATATCGTCCGAAAAGAGAAGGAAACATGGATAAAATATCGAGAATATATCTCTGAACTCCGCAGACTATACAGACCACTGCATCAAAATCTGTTTAAAATCTAAGATGATTGTTCCGATTATTGGAGTCCTTAATGGAATGATGCCCTCTCTCCTCTCAAATCTCAAAATCATGCTTGCCGCACTGAGGCAGAAATCTCGGCCAGACAACTGCAGAAAACTGTCGTTCTTGGCTCGCTGCGCTTACTCAGGGCACATGATTCTCGGACCCAATGATCACTTACCCTACGGTGTAGGTAGTGTTCTTTGGTTGATAATGCTGGCGTACCTTCATGAATGTATCGGGGCTTCGGGGGATAGGGCCTGACCGACGCAAACTTAGGATACATCCGGAGCATGCCACCTTTCTCATCCAAATCCTAAAGGATTACGTATCATATCTTTGATGGTAGAGTTATATAGCTCCTTACCAGCATGCCTACAAAGTGGTGAAAGTGACAGTTCTACCACCCGTTGGCACAGCTGGAGAGAAGACCCGAATCATGCTACCAATGGAGATTATCAAAACACGCATGGCGCTCCACTGAATCAGGTCACTGTAAAACAAGAACTGGCTTATTTGGATGCAGAAGTTCATAGAATTCTAACAGGAGAATATAATAGACATCTGCCAAATTACCACCACCGTATACAGCGTCATCCAATCGTTTTCAGAATCGGAAGGATGAATTCTCGGCCTTGCGGTTCGGGAAATTGCACGACAGGAACACAAGTTGGAGACTAGGATCAAGTTGGCGGGACAACAAGCAATTCGTATCTAATGTGTGATGGATTATAATAGGGCTGTCAACAGGCCTTTCATGCCTGTAGTGTGGCAAATAGCCGGCAAACTACGACGTATCTATCGTACTCTGAGTCAAGGCATGCTGCTGATTACAAAACAGCACTGCCTTGATAGGATACGAATGGTAGTGGCTACTAAAGAGTCACTAGTGAGGCGAAAGAAAAGTATCATGAAAAACACGAAGGTTACATGAGAAACCTTCTCGCTTATCCTAGAACCTCCGCATGGATAATCAGCCGACCACTGATCAGGTGATCTTCTGAAAGAACATCTTTGAATACCCGCAACAAATTAGACACTCCAGCCCTAGCCCAGTTCAAAGTTTTCAGCAGAGAGCTTCGACAGCCTGAGCTCAATGAGCTGCGTAACTTGATAACCCCGGAAACCCCGAATGACGTTCGAAGAGCCCTTGTAGGTTTCAGAAACGTTGCTACTCCAGGCCCAGATGGGCTGAACACTTATTGGTGAAAAAACTACCAAGCATCCATCGCCATCTGGCCAGAGTTTTCAATGAATGTTTGGACAGAGAGCGGCCGATTACCGATTGGTTTGTCAGGGGGTGAACCGTGGATTCCTGAGAATTACAGACCAATAACTTGCTTGAATTCATCTAATGAGTTGTTTACGAGCATCTTATATACTCATCGCAGTTGACCGAGTATTGGACGAATATCTGAGCTGGGACAGGAGCCGCTGGATGTAAAGAGAACCTGCTCATCGACAGATGTGTAAAGCAGGATTCAATACAGTACAATCGTAACCTCTCTATGACCTGAATCGATTACTGCAAGGCATTTGATACAACATCGCATGAGCTCATGTGGCATTTGCTCATATGCCTTGCGGTACCTGACAAAAAATTGAGACTAGTACTAGTACCACTGTGGTGGACTCGCTTCACTATAATATCTGATCAAGCTAGAGTCCAAACAGGGAGGGTTACTTTCAGAAAGGGTTTATCTAATGGCAGTTCTCTCAGTCCCCTTCTCTTCTGTATCTTACAATCGCCATCAGTTGCGCTTAGAAATACTTTAGAGTATAACTGTGGCACCCCCGGAAACCGGAGGGTCACCCATTTGTTTTATATGGATGATCTTGACCTTTATGTTCATTTCGAAAGAGGAACCGAAAGAGGAACCGAAAGAGGAAGAAGCATTATAAGCAAAGCATTCTATGTCCAAAATGTTCGACCACTCGACCAACCTTCAGATATGGGGGTGCATGGAATTGAAAGGATTTGCTGAAGAAAAGAGTACACAGAATAAAATGGCTGACGGACTGATTTTTCTAAGCGGTCTCTTGATATGGGTATCAAATGAACAGAATGGGAAAAATAACATGACGTCACTCTAAATCTAATGTGGTGGACGACTCAAGATGATAACTATTTTTTTTCATGCATCCCCATGAAATTGATTTCGAACGAAAAGGTTTGCTCCAAACTCCAAATTCCAAATGGCTTGCGACCCAAGATGCGAACAATTTTTTTATGCACTCCTATGACATGGTTATCAAACGAGAAGGTTTTGCTGAAGAGAACGAAATATAAAATTACGTCACTCTATATCCAATATAGTAGGCTGCCCGGAAAAAGAATAAGGAATATTTCTAGCGATAACTGAAAAATAAAAAAATTATTTTCAGTAGATGACAATTTTTGAAAATTTTTTCATCAATTTGCCCAAAAAGAAAATTTATTTCGAATTAATTCAATCTCATCAATTTGATACATTACACAATTTATATTATATGAACTTGTTGCAGTGTAGGTATATAGATAAACTAAAATACAATATGTAACTTTATTTCGACAGGTAATTCTGATAAAAAAACCTTGTTTTTTATAGAATAGGTAAGTATCACAAAAGCTTGATGCGGGCTATATATAAGTCGCTGGATGAAAGATATGAAGTCTTTTATTATTATGAAAAATGTTTTTCAACACTTGTATTTGTAACTAAAGTTACTTTAGTTTCGTTCCATAAAAACCTTTTCATATCAACATTATCATCATTAGCTTGAACAATTTTTGACTCCGGAAGGTTGCCATTTGTATGGATATCATCGTTGTTGAACACAGACAAACTATTTTTCCAATATCGAAATGTGATCTCGAAAGAAATATGTTTTATATATCGGGAATAAAATTGAATTTTAGACAAAAACAAAAAAAAATATCTACCTTTTTTAGAATTTTACTGTTCATGTCAATTTACTTGACATTATCAAATAAATTTAACGCTAGTCAAAGATCGAGTCAAATCATTGATTGAGTACAGAGTGAGTTTTTTTTCTGTAGTTGAAGAAAATCAATTTCTCAAAGATTCATTAGGATGAAAAGGAATCTGAAATCTTCCAAAGTTATGAAATAACAATCATAAAACCATTAAAATCGTTTAATCATTCACCTGTCTCTTTCTACAGATCGGAAAGACTAATATTTTTTGAATGTCCTAAAAGCAATTGCTACATCGGAAGTTACCTCTAAAGTTTTTCAGTGTAATTTCTCAAAAATATTTCAGATGTTTTAGATTTGATCTTCACAAACTTTTTTTATAAAATATTACGTATATCACGACAGATCTCGCTTGTCTTGATATATGTGATATAGTTTGGAAAACAAATTTTCTGAAGATCAAATCGTAAGATGTAGTTTATGTAATTCTTATTTACCTATTTAGTGTTTTTTGCATCCAAAATAGTATATCTTATAATTGTTAGGGAAGTTCATTCATCAGTAATTCAAACTTTCTGGTACTGTTGGAAATGACTATTTTTCATGAAATATTTTCTTATCACTTCCAGATTAGGTGTCAGAGTAGGAGAACACAACATACTAACAAGAACAGACTGTGAAATCATGGTAAATGGACAAAGGAAGTGCTCAGGTCCAGTTCAAGACTTAGCAATTGAAGAAATTCTTCCCCATCCTCGTTTCAATCCCAACGTCATACAAAATGATATTGGACTTCTGAGGGTATCCAGGATGAACTTGAATGTTGGTGAGTTTTGAGAATAATGATATTCATCGAACTTTAACCCAATTTCCTTTGTTTCATTAACAAATGTTATTAACGATTCACAACTTCATATAGTTACTATGTCAAAGTTTAACTACTCCACAGACTGAGAACCGTTATTTTGTGAACTGACACAGAGCAAAGTGAATTTCTGTCGATGGGCAATCGATCAGGTCAGTTTCAGCTGAAATGGCAGAAAAAGACAAGTTGAGACTTTTCTTATCAATTCCTAAAGTCAGTTAGAGAATTTTGGGTTCGATGAATCTGTTGAAATCTTTTGAAATATGTTTTTCCATTAACCAGTTAACAAGCAGTTTATGCTTGAGGAAGCTATTGTATAGCGAAACACGTGTCTCGGTTTTTTTAAAACCCTTTTATAGTGAGAATCATACAATAAACTGTATTGATCAGTTTTTTTTCTGAGGTATTTACCTTTGTATATCAGATCAGATTATAGAATGGGGGTTTGCCTTAAGTGTCACGCAATATGCCGTTAATATTATTCTGTCTCAAGTTCAACTCCGAACTGATTTTCGATTTCGATTGATTGAAATCAATAATAGGGAAATATTCAAGCTAACGTTCTTAGAAAATATTTGTGTGTGTTAAAGGGCATTTGTTATCAAAACAATTCGAGTTGGATCAACCACTATTTATGTATAACAAATTACAGGTATTCACCTAGTAATTTTATTTCTTATATCAACACTAAGTTTGCACTAGGAGCAAAAAACTCATGGAGTGCACAGTTAGTGTATGTGATATATGAAATCAATAAAAGATGGAGGATAATTACCCAAAAAAAACTTCCAAACACCTTTGTGCTAACTAGGAACATGTAGCTTAGCATTTGTATTTCAACCCGCTTTTTCCCGGGCTGTCAATCTCAGTTTCACTATTGGTTAACTTTGACGAATGCTAGAATTTGGTGTTTTGATTTAACCATAAAAGAAAGTAGCGTGGAGATGCATCTCAGTGGTTGCTGGATGCCACAAATATTCTTTAGATTTTGAATAAGAATCACTGTCATCACATAAACATCTGAATCTGTCAAAGTTACTCATGCTATAATTACTCCATAATCACATAAAACAGAACACAGAGTCGGGTGCTACAAATGCAATACGCATATACAGACGGCTCAATAACCAAAGAAGGCTCAGGATGTGGAGTTTACTCCAGATCACTAAGCCTAAGGATTGAGTGGGGAATGGGAAAAATACCAGCATGGTTCAAACAGAACTGGCTGGTATCTCAAACGCCACAAATGAAATAGCCAGGTAAGGAATTTCTGGTAGAAATATGACAATCTGCACTGACAGTAGACAAGCCCTGTTAGCCTTGAACATACAACGAGTTACCTCAGGGCTAGTACTAGAGTGCCACCAAGATTTAACCAAAGCCTCGGTAGATAATAACATTATCCAGAGGTGGGTTGAAAGGCACGACAGAAGTAAAGGTAATCGCATTGCCGACTCTTCAGCCAAGGAAGCGGCAGGACTAAGAATTTTAGTACCCAGTGGTACCTATGGCCTGATGACTTCGACAATTGCGGAACTAGCCAAACGTCACGCCCATGTTCTATTCCTAAAGAGATGGGATGAAATCAAAGGATTCAATCTTGCCAGGATCACCCTGGGCGACCCTGGGAAGCTGGCGCCGAAGAAATATATGGCGATGACCAGGAAAAACCTACAGTTGATAGTAGGATTTCTGACTGGCCACTGTCAACTAGGGAAACACCTCCATATTATGGGGCTGGTGAACACACCTCTATGCAGGTTGTGTGAACAGCAAGATGAAACTGTCAGGCATGTTTTCTGCGAGTGTCCGGAGTTATCGTCAATAAGAGAGTGTGTGTTTGGCGAGTCTTCGCCTACACCGGCCGATATAACGGAGATGTCTCCTAGTGACCTATCCACCTTCCTGGAAAGGACAGGATGGACGAAAACGTTCGACCGGTTTGTTTACCCATCGACAATTCAAGAGATGCAAAGTTCAGATACGCAACAGTCACGGGTTGGGGAGTCACCGATTCAGGTTGGTATAACTTGCATTTCATCAAACAGAAGAATACTTTCATTACTTTTCTCAGTGTGAAAGAAAATTTGCAAACAATTTTCCAAACTTTCCTTCTTAGGGTTCACATAATTTGTTTCTACTGATAATATGTTAAAAATATGTTGAAATATGTTTTTTTTCGTTAACCAGCTGTCGCACCTCTACGAACGACAATCCTCAGAAGTCGAAACTTGTTCGAGCTGAGGACTAACGAGGTCTTACCTTCCAACGAAGGTTAAAATTTCTGAATATCATATATGAATTGTTGTTATTCTAAGTGGATATTGAATTGAAATATTGTCTTATTTTCGTGAGGTAATAAGAATCGGTGAAGTATGGCAATTCATTTTTCATTTATTTCGTATCTGTTTATTGTTTTGGTGATTAGACATGTCAATAATAATGATAAAATATTTGTTTGAAGTAGTGAAAACGACGGAAGTTAATACATCATATCTATAAAAGATTGAACTATGAAAATCATAAAACGGTACATGAAAACGAATCATAATGAAAAATATCCGTACTAAATTGAATGAGAAAGGAGAATCAACTGTCAAAAATATATAAAGAGATAAAATCGAGATGACACGAAACAATGACAAGAGATTTGCAAACACAGAACATAACAAAAGAAGGACTACCACGTACATATCGACTCGTGTTCTGAGCAAACAGACCTCTTAAAAAAATCTGTTTAAAATATGTTTTTCCGTTAATCAGTTGTCGATCCATACGAACGACAATTCTCAGAAGTTGAGAAACTTGTGCGAGCTAAGGACTAACTTGTTATTCCTAACACGGTTGCAGAATCATCTCAGCTTCGACCAGATAAATTCTGTCGAGAGAAATATCTGGTCGAGACGGGATTCGAACCCACGGCCTTCCGATCGTGAGTTGGGCGCACTACCCCCGCGGCCAATTCCACAACCATACAATCTATAAATGCCATCTTGTTACAAAAATTAGTGAAAGTAATCCTATGAGTTGAAATGTGAGTCAATAAGGTTGGAAGAACAATTGTTCCGATCAGCAGCTTCTATTGTCTAACGAAGAAAAGGTGTTCAACAACTGAAACTGACCACCAAACAACTGTACAACCATACTAATAAAAGGAAAAATAAGGTTTTATGGATGATCAAGGCAGGGAAAATTTAGTTGAAATTAGGAGAATTGAAAAACTTTTGGCAATCAAATTGTACATGTTCATTAAGAAACATAACATTAGTTATAGAGTTATTAAAAGCAGGGTTGATTTCAAGAATTTCAAGTAAATCAGGTAAAGTGCATTTTTGGCAAACGTGTGAAATGTTTGAATCAGAATCAATATCAATAATATGGTTGTAATTAAGAATGTGATTAGAGATCGAACTCTTAGGGTTATAATCATTCAAGTGCAAACTTCTGAAATTGTCATCGGTCACGTCAGCACTCACATTTTCAAAATAAGTAAATAGTAAATCTATAAGAGAGACATTATTTTCAGAAATCCGGATGGGACCATCAATTCTCTGTATAAAATTAACCGTGTCTGTTATTGCTCGTAAGTCTCTAGATAGCTTAAAATTCGAATCTAAAAAGTTTATATTGAAATCGCCAGTATATATCATTTCGTCATAATCATAAAATATATTGATGCGAGTATCCTCGAACTCATTCCCCAAATTTTCCGGAACGTCTATTGATATTGAAAAATACTCCTTGACTCATCTTCTAAATGTACAGGAAGAAATGTGATTTGAAAAAATATTTTTTCATCGTCTACTGCGATACAACTATAGATATCAATAACCTACATTAACTCCATAGCGGAGTTAATGTAGGTTAACTACGGAAAAGATCAGGGTTTTTTAAACTTCGAAAGGTAGTGAGGTAAAGATGGTTATCAGGAATTTTCCTATATGAAATAGATTTTCAACAGGCAATTCCTATCACAAAGTCAATAAGTTCACGCAGTATTTGTAAACTTCTTGTTCGGTCGAAACATTCACATAATTCATTTCAATTATTCATTGAAGTTTCTGATATGAATTTAAAATAACTATCGATTGGTTTATGTTTGGTAACAGTATTCAAATCAGAAAACGGATAGAAATCACTATTTAAAAATTATTCGGTCGGTAGCCAGGCGGTTCGACATGGGTGCTTTGTTCACTCACTCGAATTGACTGCCGTATTGGTCGGTGGTTCAAGCCCCAGTATGAACGATCGATTTGCACTTGCTATCGTCCAACCCGTGTTAGGAATTACACGTTAAAAGGTAAGACCTCGTTAATTCTTAGTTCGCACAAGTTTCGACTTCTGAGGGTTCTCGTTCGTACGGGTGCGACAGCTGGTTAACGGAAAAACAGATTTTTTTTGATAACCTTTACGTACTCTCCCTCTCGATATAGTGACAATTACTATTTTTGGAGAAACTTTAATTTCAAATTTTTTTCAAATGAACTTGTTCCATTTAATGGGCTGTTTCCATCCATTTCGATTGATTATACTTTCGAAGGTTTTTTATCATTATCATCAGATTATGTCATTAAAATGCAACCAAACTTCACTGAATTTATTATTGATGATGTTTCTCAATGATAGTGAGTTTTCTTCAATACCTTTTTGACGTATTCAAAAAACATTTTATTGTGAGATTTTCACTAAACAATTTTACAGAAACGTTACACGTGTTTCGCCATACAATGGATTTTTCAGGCGAGTCTTTCACTACCATTGTATAACGAAAAACGTGTTGCGTTTTCGTAAAATCATTTAGTGAAAATTTCACAATGAAGTGTTTTTTGAATACGTTAGTTTTGACTTTTCATCAAGTATCGGCCAATTCCATTATATATAATAGCTTTTTGAAAAATTTCAGATTCATAAGACCATGTTTTGTTACAGGTCAAAATAGTATGGTTCTTCAAAAAGTAGAGTTGCCCATCGTTAGCTTAGAGGATTGCAGAAACGTCTACAAATCTGAACCAAAAGCTAACATTAACTACTTACAACTTTGCGCTGGAGGAAGAGATAAAAAGGATTCTTGCCCAGGAGATAGTGGAGGACCTCTACACGTAGCAGCTTATATCAATGAAGCAACACGATATGTTCAACAGGGTGTTGTGTCATTTGGACCACGGTTTTGTGGCCTGGAAGGTTATCCGGGAGTGTATACCCGAGTGGCCTATTATATGGACTGGATTTTGGACACGATAAGACGTTGAAGTAACAGAAGACGCGATAAGATGAATTAACTTATCAGCTGAATTAAAAGTGCTATATCTATATATTTATTTGAATGTCATATTTGGCCTGTGTTCTATTCGAAAGGTTCAATTCAGTATTTTTGAAACTTGTTTTTGAACCTTATTTTCTATGTATGTGTTGTTCTCTTAAAATCTTAGAGAAATTGATCTGACGCAACCGTTTCAAGGAGTCATATCATCAAAATAGACTGGATCTCATTTTTTTATTGTGTACAACGAAATAAGAAATTCAAACAAGTGGATGAAATAAAAAGGTATTAGTAGCTCGAGTATAATACTACATCTGTGTCTTGTTTCTTCATTTATTTATACTAGCCTTATAGTTTCAAATAAGAACTTGAATCGTTATTTGTTTTATCAACGTATATATTCTTCTTATTATTACAATATATTGATCTGTATGATTTTTATATTTTAAACGTTTATTTATTTTAAAATATTTTGAATTCATCCTAAGACTGTAATTCATAAGTAGTGCTGTGTGCACTGACCCCTCGTCAAATGAACATGGTGATTCTGTGTACATATTGTGTCGTGAAAGTGGAAAAGTCTACGAAAATATAAGCTCATATAATGAGCTACTTGAATTGCTACTTTCGCACAGGCACCGCTCTCAGACCGCCTCATGGATTTTTCTGTAGTGCTTGTGTTTTATCCTTCCTCAAAAAAGGTCTGTTTCAATATAATTGTCACGTGAGCACAAGCAATGGAATGCAATCAAGGGTTCCAAATGGTATGTGAATATATGAATGTGGTATGTCTATGAGGATGTCGAGTTGCAGGGGTATACAGATTATTTTGGAAAAAAAAGTTTTTGGCTTTCTACTGCTCCATCTTGATACAAAAAAATGTGGAAATCTTCCAAAGAAAGGAAGGAAGTAATCAATTTTAAAAATAAGTAACTCTATAAATGGATGTGTAGATCATACAAAGAAGTAACTTGCATGATCTACACATCCATGTATAGAGTTACATGCAAAGAAGTAAAGTGCATGATCTACACATCCATTCCCATTCCCAAAAAATTAATCATTCCTAAAAATATAACCCTCTCAATATATACAGATCAGTTCTGAACGTTTAATATTTCAAAGTTCAGACAAGAGACAAAGCAAGCTGTTTGATCGCTCGTTTTCAATACCGCTTATGCCGTCCTACGACTACATAAGCTGAGTTTGCACATCAATAAATCTACCAGTTATATATTTATACCAGAATCAAATTATATGTATATCTTCAGATTATGTTCATCATTGATATAATTTGATTCTGGTATAGTTTCTATGCAGTTGAGTTGTTTTAGGTAGGTTTCTGTGTGGTAGATGTGTAATTACTTAAAATGTTTGTTATCTATTTAACATGTTGAACAAGTTCTAATAGCAATAACGAGTGTGATAACAACGCAGACTTTTTCCTGTGTAGTGATTCCAATAGGAATGGTGAACAATGATAACAAGAGATACCAGTGAATAAGATTCAGATGCATTTGAATATTGAAACACAAAGAGTATGTTTCATTGTATATAAGAATCTACATCTCAAGTTTCATTTCGAGGGAAACAAACTATTACAAGCAACATCAGATTTGACCAAAATTTTTTTCTCAACTGTACGCAAAATAGTCAAAAACATACCTTAAGTACCAAAGACGCGATTTAACAAAATCAGTGAAAAAAACAATATATGACTGTTACAAAAGCAATGAGAATCCTACAACTAAAATCATAAGGTAGAATACCTACTTCCTGCCATAACGTGAGCTGCTTCAGAATTGGATAAAGAAACTAGGATTTAGATTTGAAATAATAAACAAACGTCAAGCAGTTATGGAAAACAGAAGAATAGTGAAATTGCGTAACAAATACTTAGAACAAATAACTGAACAACAAAAAAATTTCTATTTGGACGAAACTTGTTATGACACATGCCTGCAAAGAATCGCGACTAATCATTGTGCATTGCGGAGGAAGTAAAGTATGTGCAAAGTTGACTACCCAAGATGGGAGCTGATATTTCCGAGGAATGGTTTGAAAACACATTGATACCAAATTTGGATGCGAATAGTGTAATAGTTCTTGAGAACGCTTTGTATCATTCGCGACAGCTCATCAAAGTACCGAATAAAAATTAGAGAAAATATGAAATATAAAGTTTTTTAATGGATAACAATTTGTATTTTGAAGATTACTATCACAAAAACATTCAAAACAGTGTATGCCCTTGAGAGTATTGCTGAAAAGTATGGATACACCATACTGAGATTTCTCCTCTATTCATGTGTTTTTAAACCCATCCAGTTGACTCGAGGAAAATTGAAACAAAGCATCAGGCGTAAAAATAATTTTCCATAAATTGATGAAAAGGTAATGGAATCTAATATCACCGAAAAAGACTGGCAGAAAAGGGTTAAAAAAAAGTGTCTACATGACAGAATGGTACTGGACGACACAGAACGAGGTGATCACAACTCTGTCACTGACTTGGAATATGTTAAGCAAAAGGCTCATATGGAAGCAACAGAGATCACTTCACTTCTACGGCAACGCAAGGATAAGCCAATGTATAGGGTCTTCTTCAACAAAATTGAAGACGTTGGCTTATCAAAGGGTCTGACTTTTGCTTTCCTCAGGTCGAGTGAGATGAAGTCGGATACTTGAGGGTTCATCATGGCCTGCGAGAATAGTTTTTTTCAACACCTCAGTCTACCGCAGTCGCGTGATAAGTATAGAGATACGACACAAAGTGCAGAGGCGTCTGAGGCCCTAAAGCACTTGATGTCAGCATGTTCAGCATATGCGGTTTCGGCTTATCTCCATCGACATGACTCGACCCTAAAAGTGATTTATTACCACCTATGGCACTTTTACGGTATTGATGAGACACCGGTCTTACACTACGCTCCGGAGGTATTGAATCCGTTCTGAGAAATGAGAAGGTCAGAGTTTATTGGAACAATTCGTTCTTCATCCGCAGGATCAGACGAGCTAATAAGACACTTCAACCCTTGCCCAGTTTAAAGCTTTCAGCAGCCTGAGCTCAATGAGCTGCGCAACTTGATAACCCCGGAAACCCCGGATGACGTTCGAAGAGCCCTTGTAGGTTTCAAGAACGTTGCTACTCCAGGCCCAGATGGGCTGAACACTTGGTGAAAAAACTACCAAGCATCCATCGCCATCTGGCCAGAGTTTTCAACGCATGTTTGGACGCAGAGCGGCCGATTACCGATTGGTTTGTCGAGGGGTGGACTGTGGATTCCTAAGAATTACAGACCAATAACTTGCTTGAATTCATGTAATGAGTTGTTTACGAGCATCTTATTGTTGACCGAGTATTGGACGGATATCTGAGCTGAAAGAGGAGTCGCTGGATATAAAGAGAACTTGCTCATCGACAGATGTGTAACGCAGGACTCGATACAGTACAATCGTAACCTCTCTATGGCCTGAATCAATTACTGCAAGGCATTTGATACGACATCGCATGAGCTCATGTTGCATTTGCTCATATGCCTTACGGTACCTGACAAAAAATTGAGATTGATTGAACAACTGGTAACACTCTGGTGGACTCGGTTCACTATAATATCTGATCGAGCCAGGGTCCAAAGAGGGTGTTGATACTTTCAGAAAAGGTGTATTTAATGGCAGTTCTATCAGTCCCCTTCTCTTCTGCATCTTACAATCGCCATTATCAGTTGCGCTTAGAAATACTTTAGGGTATAACTGTGGCACCCCATGAAACCGGAGGGTCACCCATTTGTTTTATATGGATGCTCTTGAACTTTATGCCTTTGGAGAAAATGATTTTCATCAGTCCTTGAGAGTGATGGAAGAATACACGCATGCTATCGGTATGGAATTCAGAATAGACAAATGTGCAACGGTTCATCTCGAAAGAGGAACCGAAAGAGAAAGAAGCATTATAAGCAGAGCATTCTATGTCCAAAATGTTCGACCACTCGACCAACCTTCAGATATGGGGGTGCATGGAATTGAAAGGATTTGCTGAAGAAAAGAGTACACATTTGATAAAGACTTTCATCAATCTACTGGACTTAACTAAATGAATTTCCTAAATAGGTTTTTTCCTTAACCTAATTGTTATTATTTGGTAATATCTTATTATAATTGGAATAAATCAAAAAATTCACAAGCAAACGTACTTTAAGTATATATTTCAGTTATTTTTATGATTTTGTCCATCATTAAAACTATTTTCCTGAGCAGAGTGTTCGCTATTTTTTGTCATCACTTTCCACTCATTTCCTATTTTCTATAGATAGATGTGAACCTGAATTACAAACAGCTATCAATAAAATTAATGATATTATGATCAGAATATCTGAATTCTGATCATAATATCTGAATATCTGAATAAAACGAAAGCAATGATAATTACAACAAAACATAAACATAATTCAATTGACAAAACATCTACCTATAACTATAAACATTTACAATCAAAAAATTGAAATTGTCGAGGAATTCAAATATTTGGGGTTCATCGAGGATCGAACAGTGACTATGAAAAAACATTTTAATTATATCCACAATGAAATTGCTAAAAAACTATTTTTCTTTGGCGGTGTAAACAGTTGCTTACTGTTTCAGGCTCCCATTACAGTTTTCAAATCAATCAAGGCGCCAACTTGGTGATTGGGAAAAGTGCTTGTTTTGGAGTTTTCAATTGCAATGATTAACAATTTTGAAATATCAAGAGGCAAAATTAAAATTTGAAGCAAAAATAGAAAAATGTAAAATCCTCAATCAATATACTTTATTGTCTAAGAAAAGATATTCTTATTGACAAAGCTTTCTATAATCTAAAGTCAGTACATGATAGAATTTGACAAATAGTATTCTATATATCACAGGTCAACAAATACAAAAATGTTCACAACATAATTAGTGAGCATCATCGTAAAAATATTTTATTTACATATCTTATTATAATCTAAAATGAATATTAGTATAAATGAATTTGTAAATAGTATTCTAGTACATAAAGTGAGTTGCCAAAAGCAAAAATTTATGACAATACAATAAAGTGAGCATCATCGTAAAACTTCTGTGAGATACTCCTGAACATTTAGTAAAGAAATTGCGCTAATTAAGAGACAAATAAATTTTTCAATATGAAATCGAGTTATGATTTTTCCTCTCGGTTTTTTAAACTCAAATCAAAAAATTCCCCTACAAATAATGTATTACATGAGTTTTAATCAATTAAACTAATAGAATGTAATTGGTTGAAATGAGTCGCATTCAGAAATGTTTTTATGATTTGTGAAATGAGTCGCATTCAGAAATGTTTTTATGATTTAAATTTCAATTCTTTTTATTCTGAAAAACAGCAATCAACTGAATCAATTTACATGCAACCGAGTGTGATTGGGGATACCCCAGAGTGCTGGACATGTGTAGTTGAAAATATATCGTTCATTAGTCACATTCCGCTCTATGAACACGTATCGGTTTTTATTATCTGAACACTTTTGATATAGTTGTTCCAAAGAAACATTCACTATGTGTTTGTTCAAAGTATTGGGAGTCAGTGTTTTATTCATTCTATGTGACGGTCAAGGTGAGAATAATAATTTAGTGATTTATCGAAACGTGCTAAAGTTAGTTTGGTTGCGTTTTTTCGTGTCTGATAACCGCTCGCGCTTAATGTTTTTTCTCGGGAATATTTCCAGTTTTGTTGAGAAAGGGTTACGGTAACCTAAAAACATGCATAATATAGACTGGCTAGTCAACAAGTAATAAGAGTTCAATTAAAAACAAATTTTGCAAATCTATAATTCTTTGGTCTACTATTCACCTAATCATGACAAGTTCAAGGATTGTATGGCACAACTGAACTGATATTTGAATTCTGTCATTTGATTATGTTCGGTTGTTTTAAACTTTTATCCGTTTCCATGTATCTACTTTAAACTCTTAAATCTTAGTGAATACCTATTCAATTAAATCTTTGTCATTGTAACACAAGTTGAATGATTCCGTCAGCATAAAAAATACTCGTGATTCGATGAAGTAGACGAAGACCGTTTTTGTCTGGTCCTAATTGGAGATTGACAGTCGGTTAGGAGAGAATGGTGAGTGAGGCAGAACTTTAACCCCCAACTCATTCAATTTTTGTACGGTGATTTGTGAAAAGTGTATTGTCATGGAGTAGGATCGAGCGTTTTCTGTTGACCAGTGCCGGTTGCTGCTGATGCAATTAGGCCCGGTGCCAGAAAGTTATAGTAAATCACAACAGTCGCTAACCACCATACAGTAACCATGGTTTTTTGGTGGGTTTTTGCCTTTCGGAAGTGCCTAGGTGGCTGCTCATCGATGTCCAAGGACTCTCCTGAACGTCTCATGTTGTCGTAGAGGATTTAAGTTTCATCATACGTGACGATCCGATCCAAAACAGAATCGTTTGGGTTGCGCAAGAGCAAAGAAGATCAGACCTCGAAACTTGACGGTTTCTGTTGATCGTTCAATTCGTGGCGCTCACACTTTTCGAGCATTTTCACCTTTTGTCGTCCTGTTTCTCTCAACTGAAACTCAATTTTTTGTAAGTTTTTCACAGTTTCTTTTTGCCTGTCATTGGAGACATACTTTGGTCTCCTTCCAAGACTCCCATTATTTCCTTCACGGTCAGAGATAACTTTGTTTTTGGCCGTGGTCTGCACGTTTTTATGCCTGACGTTCTGTGAAAATGAAAAATAAATAAAAAAGATTAGCTGAAAAATAACAATTATATTGAGCAAAAAAACTGACATTACAATATGAAATAAAATTCAAGCCACAAACAAAAAATAAAAAAAATGAACTACTAACAAGAGAAGCCGTCACATCCAGTACATGTACTTCCCTACATCAAAGGATTGTCAGAAAGGTTGAGAAGAATTGGGTCCAAGTATAATATCAGAACCTGCTTCAGATCTGCGAACACCAAACGCGGACTGCGATTATAAGAATTGCATTTACTGGATGGATACCCTGTGAGTGCGGAAAATCATACATCGGTGAAACTGAGAGGTCATTGAAAGTTCGCATTGCCGAGCACAAGAAGCACACACAGCGAGGAGAAACAAGCAAATCAGGAATAGCAGAGCATGTTTGGACTCATCAACATAACATCAAGTGGGCTCAAGCTGAAATCATCCACAAGAAGGAACACTGGTTCAGAAGAAAATTCAAAGAAGCCGCATTTAGCCAAGCTAGCGTAGAGATACGCAGTATATGGAAACCTCTAATCAAGCGGAACACGACCAACTCCCGCCAAACGGTCATCCCCCGCTAAAAACCGATGAATCGTTAAGAGGGAAGAGGGGATAAGTGAAAGCAATCGAATGACCTAAACTTCAGTTTTCTCGCCTAATATAATTGTTATTTTTCAGCTAATCTTTTTTAATTTTTACAGAATCTTTCAGATATTTCAAATCAATTTTTATCATATTAGACAATGGAAGTCCAAACTAATGAAATACACCACGAAACATTGTCAATCACTTTGTAACGGTAACGGTCGCGTTTCCAAGTTTCCGTTTAATCAATTAAACGTATTTTCTATGAAAATCGGTGTGTTAAAAAATTAATTGCCGGTGATTTGGCTGAAAAAATCCTTGCCAAACTATGACTATTTCAAAATTCAAAAATGACTTTTAAAACGAACAAATTTTATATCAATCGAAAGTATGCATTTCATAGAATATAGAAATGTTGGGTGGACTATTTTTTCCTTTCGTAGATATCAGGTTCGCAACTGTATAATTAGCGCTTATTTTGGCATAAATTTATTTATTGAACCAATGAACCTTCAAAGCTTCAAAAATCAGATGCGTAAAATATTATGGCAAATACCCTGTAAGAGATGCAAGAAACATTTTTCTAAATGAGGAGTCATTCCAATCAAATATCAACTGGTTACAGAACAACAAATAGGAATAATTTCAAACTGGAAGTTAGTGGTCTCATAGTTATTTTCAGACGAATATGAACAAATATTGACGAGTTTGATTCACTCACAAAGCATCTCTGACATATGGCTGAGAAGATTCACATTATTGTAGAAACAATGAAATAGAAAGAAGGTTTGGTTTGGAAATATACAGAAAATTCCAGAATAATTATTCAAAAATTTAGATTTTTTTCATCATAATAATGTGCTACTAGCCTAATTATTTATGGAATTGTTACTCATATGAACCAAATATGGAAATAATTGACAATACCATGTGATAAAACTAATCGAAATGCAAAAATATGGCTGAAGTTTGAAATTTATTTGTTTTTTATTCAGAAAACGCAGAGAACACAATTTATAACTCATGTCGAAATTCTCACATCTTCATTATATGATAACTAAACCTCAATGAAAGAAAGACATTTCGTGAAAATACCTACAGAAAACAACTAATTTCTTGTGTACCTCATACTTGAGAATGTCGTGATAATAAATCACTACATGTTCCAAATTATCCCCCACTATGTCTACCTGTCTGTCTGATCGCGATGAACTCAAAAATACCGAGAGAATTTTCATATGGTTTTCACCAATGGATAGAGTGATTCATGAGAAAAGTTTATCTATATATTTTAACAACATTTTTATGTGAATTGGTTGAAATATATTATCCGTGAGAAGTCAAAACAATTGTGCTATCCATTCTAGGTAACTATACATATTATACTTATTTGAATGTTCAAAACGATATTATACACGATGATAATAACAGATATTTAGAATATGAAATTCATGTACTGTTACCACACTACTTTACAATGGATTATATACAATTTATCGACCTTAGTTAATAAACATTACTAACTGGAAAACAGATAGTTGTAGAAACTGGTAGACAGCAGGTACAAAGCAGGTAAAAACTATTATTACTGATGATTGGACTACTAATTCTAAATTTTTCTAAATTTTTAAATATCAATATAATTCATTGTACAGTTTGGAAAGTTTATTTCAGGTCCCACTGATCTGGAAGCGGAAGGAATGTTCACATATTTGTTTAGGTTGGTTTTCGGGTTTTGCTATGGTGTTTTTTGTTTATAAACTCCAAACGTTTCAACTGCAACTGCGGCAGTCATCTTCAGTGTTGTGGTTGGAGTACTCTTCCTGACGTGTCAACTGAAACTGTTTCAGTTGACACAGATAGGAATCTAGGTGAAACGTGAAATGCACAGCACATAGATTAAAAATGTATATCACAATGGATTTCATTATGAAACGGATTCAGGGCATATAAGGGTATTACTACAGTACGGGTAGTGTAGAAAAAATATATTGAACAAATGTATTACTGTCAATTTTCTTTATTGAGATAATTTGAATTCAGAAGTGACATCTGAAACAGTTGCAAAAGAAACAAATCGAAAACTGAAATAGTCCTGCCTACACAACTTTTTGATTACTCTAGTAAAGCAAGTAAATTTTACGTAACAACGATTCAACATAGCGAAAATTTAATGGAGTTATACTTATACTCTAGTCTAGTGAGGTTTTCTTAATATCTCCAATTCTCGATAGGCCGAATTATGAATGGAATTTTGTTTTGTCGAATGTCAGAATTTTCCTATTTTTTTTTTTTTTGATGAAGGTTCAGCTACCGGACTGAGTCATGGCCGGTGGGAGAACTCGGAAAGTTTGGGTCCATGTATGTATATTACGTTTATGTAATTTACTTTAAAACTTCATCACTAACTGAAAACGGTCCTGAGTTTGGAAGTTTACGGCTCGAATAATCTAACAGACTGATAACAGATTTCAACACATCTACTGCACATCTTGGGAGAGGGTCTTCTCACCGGCCATGACTTAGTCCGGCAGCTGCAGTTTGGGACAAAAGCAATGATAATTTGACGTGGGAAGAATTTGATGTAAAGAGAATTCGAAACGATTACGCTCATTATACTCAGCCTTTATTTTTGTAGTCTTATTGTAGGGGATTGTGATCACAGATATTTCTTTCATTTCAGACTGGGTAGTAGACGATTACGGATGCAGGACTCCTGATGGAGGAGTTGGTGATTGTACTCCTATAAATCAATGCAAGTCATTGGTGAACTGTCTGTTGAACGCTACAAAACCAATTTCACAAAAAGTGAAAGAAAAACTCAATGCCTACCTCTGTAGCTACAAATTGGGGCTCATCTGGGTCTGCTGTCCGGAAGAACCTATAGTAGATATTGATGAGCCCACAATAATAACGACAACCCCCGCACAAAACGAAAACCCACCAGATGTAACCCAGCACAAAAACTTGAAATTACTGCCAGACGAGTGTGGTTTGATTTACAGTTCCAACAAGATACGAAACGGAAAAAACGCCTTCCTCAATGAATTTCCTTGGATGGCTCTTTTATCTTATAAAACCTGTAAGTGAAAAATGTTTGTTATCAAAATATGTTTGTCGACGGTATCGAGGAGAGATACATACGTATAAAAAACTAATATTTCTAATGAAAACTCGAAATATCCATCTCTCCCAACGTTAAAACTAATTAATACAATTTATTGAATGATTTTCACTATAAGCCACTATACGCCAGCGACGCAAAGTACGGAAATCGCATTTATAAAATGCCAAACAAAAATTAGGTGCTCTGTAACTTACACCGCAACTCAATATTCAAAGTTTCATTGCTAGCATTATGTAATGCTAGCAATGCAATGAAAATAATAATGAAATAATGAATGTTGAGGAAACACTATTAGATATTTATTAAGTGCTAAACGATGAGGATCGTAAAATTTCCTAATTAACAAACAAAAGCTTCCAATTTCGCTAAACAACAGATCTAAAAGTCAGGTCTCTCGAAAACGAGGACGAATGCTCAATCAGAAAAAATAAATTTAGATAGGCAATATTGTGAAATTAATTTTTATATAGCTGAAAAATTGTTTCATATACAGCTATAACATTTGAACATATATTGTAAAATAATAGATGAGGCAAAATTGTAAAATTAATTTAGGTTGGTATACCTGTATGGGTGGTACACCTGGATGGTTTACCTGTATGGGATATCTATATAGCACAAATAGCGTTAGCTTCGCGTTAATTTCTAGTTCAATTTTCCTCTTTGAAGATGATCACTTGGTGATCGAAACACGTGTGGAGGTGTTATAAATAACGATTTGGTGTTGGGAAAAATCTCCAGTAATAGTCATTACTACACCGAAGGTTCTAAACAGAGCATCATAAGTAAGGGCAAGAGAGTAAAGTGCAAATTAGGTGCTCACTAGATAAATAATAGTAAACCTAAATTCCATAATGGCCATGGGGCTTACGGATCTGAAAACCACTATGATTGATGGACTGAGTTCTTACAGTACGTTCCTCAATAAATAAGGAAATGAAAATGAAGTGCTAATTAGGTGCTCATTAGATATTTATAGTGAATCTAGATTCCATAATTCCTATGGGGCTTATGGACCCGACCACCACCATGGACTCGATAATCACCATTTGATTTAACATAAGAAGTGTGAGATATTATCTTAAACAGACTAAAAAGACGATTTTGAATTTTTATTCGTTTACTATAATGATAGCAAATATTTGTCCTCGCAGGTTTTCAGAGCTTCATACATCTTCATCTGTTGAGTCGCCAAAAAAGGATCAGCGAATTGAATTTTCGACAAGAACATAAGCTTCAAAATTTGATTCAAAATCATTATTTCTACTGAAAGGAAACGGATAAAATTGTTTTTCGTGTTATTTAGAGAGGAAATTATAAATTCAGTGACCTCCATTCTGAAAAATTTTTTCTAGACTGTAAGCGAAATAATGTTTTTATTGGATCACTCCATTTATGTAGCCGAACTAGTTAAAAGTTATCTTGCAAACGCCTGCTGATAAGAAATGATATGTTTTTAAAATAAGAAAGTTATGACTTTCTTTCCAACTGTTTTTTTGTAAAAATGTGGATCAAAACTTTATTTTATTCAATTCTTGACATTTTCAAGAATTAAATTATTTTCAGCTTTCTCAGACGTGCACTAACGAAATGAATCGGATACCAACTCAATAAATAACATGAACCGCGAGTTATATCAGGAACTGATAGTTCACCGGTATAACATTACAGATGCATGTTCCCAGACCAGGTCGTT